TAATAATAATAATAATAATAAATTAATGCTTGATCATCAATGAAAAAATTATATATGAAGCTATAGAATAAAAATTTTAGGTAAAAATCTGATAATTGTATATCTAAATTTACACCTCTTCTACCCTACCCTTTCTCTTTTTCGAACTTCGGCAAAGTTTCTCATTACTGAATGGTTTTTGATCTTTGCTTTCCTTCCAACTACTTCGATCCATTACATAATTTGAGTCAGATATTAATTAAAACTAACGAGTCATATGACAAGTGACGAAAATAACCGATGTCTGAAAAATGCGGAAGCAAACACCTATTGCTCCCTTTGTTCGAACAGGCTTAACGATTGGAGTACTTGAGATGAACTGCCACTCCGGAGCTGCAATTGGTCATTGATTTTGAAAGCGAAATAAAATAATTAACTGATTATCAGAATATATTTCAAAAATTTCTAATTTTCAATAAATAATTATTCTTTTGAATAATTATTTATTGAAAATTAAAATATACGCAAAGTGGCTCGATTACATTTTTCTTTACAAGTTAAATTTCATATTTCTGATATTTTAAAAACAAACCCACAGTCAAAAAAAAATTTTACAAAGATGAATAAACAACAAACTTGAAGTATAGACTACTAAAGGCTCTCGAATAAACATGACCATCATTTGAGACCACTTCCGTACCCAACAAAATATTAGATGTGTGTCTGCAACAGCTTCAGCCAGTAATTTCACTGTTTCCTGATGATAATATCTGCAATTTGCTTTCTGAAATTATACAAAATTACAAACATCAGATTTTCAAGAAACAAATTTACTTACGCATTTGATGGTGGAAGCTCTTGGAAGCAGAGGCAAATTAAATCTGCTCTATCTTCTTGTCGTTTATTTGTTATTAATTTCTTGATTTTTGAAAGAGAATTCTGTGACTAAAAAACAAAATTAAACTTTATCAATATAAAGCAAATAATCAGTGACCTTTTTCAATGCTCCTCTTTAATAAACGTTTTTTACAGCAAAACAATTTGATAGAATAATATAAAGTGATGGACATAATTTAAAATTAAAAAAAAACTACTCTTGAAGCTACATTCCACGTCAGACACATCACACTAACAGTTCTATTCGGTAATAGGCACTTTAGCCGACTTAATTGTGGAATAGCAACACCACCAGGACCAAGCACTTCAATTCTGAAAAACAAAAAGTTTTGAGATGAAGTTTCATTTACACTATACATAAAAATTAAAAAAATCTGATTTACTGTCTTCAACCAAAAATCCCCTAATTAAAACATTATTTTTACAATTTTTGGATTCTATTAGTACGTTTTCCTGAGAAAAAAAATTAACTGAAGTACTTTTACCTTTTCATTGCTAATTACTATTCAAAAAGATTGCAGTAAGTTTTGTTGAGCTTTAGCCATGGTTTTGACTTTTTACTCCGTGGAACCAAATTAAAAAATAGGCATTAAGAACGTACTTCAGACGTGAACGTTGCACATCGTACGTAAAACATTGATTTGTTTCGGATTCACTAGCAAGTGCTACATTTTCATGTCTCACATTCTCAATATCAGCAGCTTCATCAGTCCTCGGACTAGAAACTGCAACTAATCATTTGAATACCAAGTAAAGTGTTAAAAGTTTGCTTAGCTGTAGATCAAACAATATTTACAAGTCGTGATATTAAACTTGTTCAATATAAAACACTTTCAAAAGCTAAGGTGTAGTGCAATAACTATCATATATGTTATAACGATTAAAAACAAAACCACCTTTCCTTCTACTTCACTCGTTATCAACAATCTTAATTGTAATACTGAAAGAAAATTAAAATATTATTCAGTTAACTTTTACAGCGTACCGTCATCATCATCTGGGATATCTTGTTTAACAGATGACGCAATACTGAATCGACGTATATGTGATGCAAACGAATCAATACGCTTTAAAGAAAGTTGCTCAATATTTGTCCTCTCATCATTATTCTGAAGCAGCCGTTTCGAAAAGAATGTATAATGATTCTGATTATCAGTCTTTAAATCTATCCAAATTAAGCAGATAATTAGTGCAAATAGAGAATTATATTGAAAACATACATTCTTATTATGGAAAGACGATAATTCCTTAGTTGATGCTAAACTAGCGGCAACCTTTGCAGCGAGTGATCGAGCACGACTAGACATTGGAGAAAGCTGTACAGAAGTTGATCAGTCACATACTGCACACGCAAAACTTTGTCTTACACGGGACTAGAAATCAATCGAAAAAATTACTGACTTGAAGATATAAATAGCAACAGCAGATAGACTTGAAATTCTTAGGTCTTCTAACGTTTATAATCACAATCCATGAAGATACAGAAATGGAAGTCAAGCTTTAAACAGTGGTGAAAAGTAAATCAACCACTAGCACCAATTATAAATTAAATTTTTCTACTCAGATTTACTGAATAATACGTTTCACACTCGACTTCATTAACTGATAAAGCACACTGTTAGATAAGCAGAACGCATACGTTTGAAATGTTCAACTTTTGATGTAACCAAAGGTTCCTTTCGAAAATTTTTTGAGAACACAGATTCAAATAACAGAAATATTTTATCGATAATTAAAAACAGAACAGCAGTCATAAAATGAATAACCAGTGGAATGCTCCTTGCATCTGATAAAACTGACTAAAACCAACAAATAAAACAGTTCACAAGAACAGACAAATGCTGATGTCATAATAATGTAGGCAATGTTAACATGTGTAAGTTAAGGAAAAAGTCCTTATTGTCAACAGATCAATTCCAAATTACTTTCACCTGTCTCACAAATAAATATACACGAGGAAATAAAAATGTAAATTTTGATGAATACAATGCTGCAAGATTGATAAATGCAATAGAACACAGAATTCATAGCATACGAATAACGTTAACAGTTCGCTGATGGAGAAGATGTGATGGAGTACGAATGATACTGCTACCCCCACGGCTTGCTTTTGAAATTTCTAAATTTCAGGAAACACAGAAATAAATAATTGAAAAAAGCGCATTTTTACCAAAATACTTCATTATTCTCATAGGTTTTTAAAAAAACATAGAAGAAATCTGCGCTCGAAATATAAGAGGATAGAAACTCATTTTATAGTCAGTAATAAGGAAAAGGGAACCATTACTAGAATGGGCAAGATAGCTAGAAATCAATGATTAAAAGTAGACTGCAATTCTGGGAATGCATTATCTTTCTCCTCGGCATCTTCTGACCCACACCAGAACGAACATTGAAGAGCAAAAAACGTAGCTTTCACAACAGGTCCCACCGTTAAGTTACTGATCACGGATGAGTAACAATCTTTAATACCACCCAGAAACAGCAGCTTTTGCATTATTATTGGCGCATTTAAACCAGCACCACGCGGTGCTGGATGAAGGGTTACTTGCGCAGTACAAAAACGAACCGCTACCTGAATTTGTCACACATTTAATAAAAAATTTTTACTTTGTAAAACCGAGTTATTGTTGGCAAGTTATGAGAAAAATTCATAATGATAAAGGAACGTGATCAGCTATTGCATGAAGCACAAAGAAAACCTTGAAAGGGACGGTATGAGGCTGCCCAGATTTTGTACGCCAGTAACCTCGTCTGACAGGTATTACGGAGGTTTTGGCACGATAAATAGCGCGTCTAATCGCAGTGCTAACGCGTTTCGCACACTGCACTCCAAGTCCTACGTGTCCATTTTTGTCCCCGACAGCAACAAAGGCTCGAAAACGTGTTTGAATTCCATTCGCAACTTGTTTCTGCACCGGAAGGATCTTGAGCACTTCTTCCTTCAGATTTGGTATTAAATGATCCACAATCTGATACTCCTGTGATTGGTATCGATCTTTTTTTTCGAAATTTTTTTTGTAAATTTTTGAATTGATGTAATTCATCACTTCATGAGAAATTTAGAGATCAAAAATTTTATTCATTAAATGGAAGACTGAAGATGATGATATTCTGAGTACAACCAAGAGTATAATGCAGAATATGCATATTTCATGAAATATGTAAAATCTAAGAATGTTACGGTAACATTTGTGGTTATCAAATAGTTCAGTTATTCAAAAGACTGACCAAAATTGGTATCGATCTGCGGAAAATTTCTTCAATTGATGTTACTCGTCCATCTTTCACCAAACGACCCAGTTTGGTTACTGGTGTCCACGGTCTATCTGATTCAACTGTTATACGACGTAGACCAAAGCCTATTCGATGAGGTATGTTACCTCGATTTCTCGCAAAACTGAAGTAAAGTTTTTTAGTTATAGTAACAACTAATTTAATAGTTAAAGACTAACATTTCTTTAAATTTTCGTGCAATAAAATCAAAAATTTTGTGAACGAAAAACAGGAAGTATTATAATCTAACACAAATAATTTCCTCAGGCTTAACGTTTTCTGCTAAAAAGATGCACTTAATGTTTCGGCGATAGTTCGAAATATTCTATCAGCAGTTAGAAACAACTCTAGATATTGCTAATACAAGCTCGGCATTTAACCGATTCCAATTTATTTCCTGGCAATTTTTTTCGATTCCTACTCACTAGTCATTAAATCTGTAAAGTTCGAAAAATGTGAATGAAAAAAAAAGGCAAGAAAAGAGTTATAGATGACAGGAGTAAACTCAATGAATGCATGATTTTGAGCAAGAATTTTTAACTTTCTTATAAATATAATCAAATAATTTTTCAAATATAAACGTAAAATTACAAAATACCTAGACCGCCTATCAACATGATCAGGAGCATTACGATTGTCATTAGTGCCACTGCCGAAGCCACCCAAAAAACCTGCACGACGATCCATTTTACAAGAATCTAAAGAAATATTCTGTAAATACATGTTTTTGCGATTATTACACAGAATATTTTGTTCTTAGTCAATAAATCATCGGTAGCTGTAATCACACCAATAATAAAAGGCAAAAAGTGTTTAGAAGTTAAATACCAAAAAAATAGTTGAAAACAGAGGTACTGTCATTAAAGAACAAATTTACAAACTAATAGATTCAAAAAAGAACATGGTAGCAAGGATGTGTATGCTTAAACATAGAAGAGAGCGCTATTATATGATAGCATTAAACGAATAAGGGTATGGAAAAGTGGTGGTGGTGGCGGTGGTGGTGGTGGTGCTGCTACTGCTACTGCTACTGCTACTGCTGCTGCTGCTGCTGCTGCTGCTGCTGCTGCTGCTGCTGCTACTGCTTGAACGGTGTGTCTGACAGAATTTTCAAGCACAAATCAACAACAAACGAGGTAGGTATGTATGCATGAGTAAGCGAGCATTAGATTAAAATAAAGAACGCAAAGGGATAGAATCACCCAGCTATCTATCAATCGATCTATCAATCTATTTTTCTATTTATTTTCACACCAAAGAATGATCATCCTCACTAGCTTAACAATATTTTCATAATTGGACTAATGACAAGTAAGAATGAAAGAGAGAAAGCCATACTACGTATAATGTCAGGCCGCATGTAAAGAGCAATCAATAAACAAAAAACCGGACGTGAAGCTTTTCGTAGCCAACGGTTGTTAGCGTGCTATAACAACACTTACATTCATATTAGAAAAGTAAGTAGTATGTTATTTACTGCAAATTATCAAATACAATCTTTTATTCTTCACACCATCAAATCCTACATTTTGTTACAATCACGAATAAAAGGCGCTAACATGTAAACTAATAGTACATTTACTGCATTCATCTCAATAAGCAACAGTTCATACTGCACGCTCATTAAACCTGCACTTACCAATCAATACAAGCAATTCTACAATAGCGTCTTAAAATTTCACAACATTTCATAAGAAAAAAAAAATTAGAAATAAGAGTGCTCTATAATTTCCACTATGATTACATTACAATTATTGATTACATTTCATTCAAAGTAACAATAAAAGTACTTAGCTTATTTCGAATTACAAGTAACCTTTCAAATATCATTCTCTATCGAGTTTTATTCGTGGCGGGAATGTAATGATACTTTGAAAATGAAACATTTACACTACACGGCATTATAATATTACAAGATATTAAAAGGTTAAATAAACATTACTGAAAATCTTACATGACCAGTCAGTCAGTCAGTCATCATTAGACAGAAATATTATGACTGCAAATAAAAAATTCAAAAAAAGAGAGAAAAAGTATAAAATTTGATAGATCAAAACTTCCCAACAAAAAATATTTCACTATTTCCTTAGAATTAATAAAGATAAAAAAGAAATACTTGTATTTCACTACAAACATGTTTTAATAAAAGTAATAATAATATTATTACGGTGTATTATACTGGTTTTTCGTACTTTCTTACGAACAATTTTAACTTCATTCATTTTGCTTCTTGTTAGAACAAAAAGCACATCTGCACAAACGTTCGCCACTTTCAGTTCCCTTGTTACTTATCACTTTTATTACGATTACTGTATAAATCTTTACTGAGATTTTATTCCCTCCCACCAATATGATCATGCAAGTATATGAAGGATGGTGGGTAATGTAGAGAACCACAAAGAAATAGAAAGGAAGACAGATAGACAAGTTTCATGTCAAATAGCAATTTGTCTTGCAAAAAAATCCATTGGACAGTGAGATATTAGCAGACGAATGAGACAGTTTACCACTTCCTATCGTTGTATTTAAGCACTGTGAAGAAGCATAGAGAATGAGCAGGTTTAGGTATGAGTTGCGCAATTTACTTAATCAAAGTTTGTCAGTTATAAGCATAGCGAAATTCTTCAACTCTGAGTTAGAGATGTTGTTCGACACTGTATGTATAAGATGGTCATGAAATGGTGAATTTGCAGGCAATTATTTGTTTATCATTTTTTGGTTCCATAAAGTAATGGTATATTTTGAAATGGTGTTAAATTTTCTCTGAAATGCTATATTTTAAATTTCTTCTAAAATTGGTTAAATATTAGACTTCTGTGTAAAGCTTTTATTGCTGCGATGGATAAAAATGTGAGCCTGTCAAAGTATTGATTCATTTTTGTAAAAGAAAAAAGCCTTAGCAGTACTTTTTGCTTAACTAAATAATAACTGAATTTAATAACTTTGAAAATATCTGCTATTAGTTGTAATGGGATTAGTTATGCTGTGAGTGGGGATGCAATGAGAGAAACTGTTGTGTAAAATTCTTTCAGTGGTGATTTTCTAGGTGACGCAACTGACAATGAAAGTCGGAGGAGATAGCAGAGAAGCATCACATTTATTATCTGATTTAAATGCAACAGCACTGGAAGCTATGACAGCAGGTTTCACTTCTCAACTTGTTATGGTAAATGATACAAAAATTGAGGATAGAGTCCGTGCTAAGGACACTGACCAACGAGGAAGTGTTGCATTATTGTATTCTGACTTGACCAATACTGTTAGTGATACTGCACTTGGTCTCTCGTCTTCATCATCGGAAATTGATGATTCTCAAGCGCTTACTGGCACAAAATCAACTCTCGTTTTGTCTGAAGTACAGAATGCTTCGTCTACTGTTTTAACAGCGGAAGAAACAGTCCCAACACCTCCGCCATCACCAACAACGCGCAAAGATTCAGTAAAGCCAAGGTGAATTTTGATGCAAAGAATTTTTGAACATTACATTAGGATATAAATTGATATTTTATTAGCTAACAGTAGTAATATATTCTGGTCGAAAATTTTGTTATTGACATTCAGATACTTTCAGTCTCTTTTCATTGGCTCAGGTTTCGCATAAACTGGGGGAATTATGGTCAAGTGCTAGAGAACGAGTTTTTGGTGAAGATTATTGGATACCATCCGATTGTTATGAAGTAATTTTTTTATACTTAAATTTCTTTCTCTTGTATGTTTTGTAATGCAAACATCTGAAGACATAAAATGTAGTGAAAATATTGTGTGACAGCTACAGAATATTCTAATTTGCAGGTTGTCCCATTTCCATTGGATTTACTAAGAGCTCATAATTCTGTTTATCCTGATATAAATAGCAAGAAAGGTTTGCGTGTTGTACAGGGTACGCTGAAGAATCGACCTACTTCTCCATTATTCCATGTGTTATTTTCCAAGGGCTGCGAAGAGGAGGACAGCAAAGCACAAGAAGAATTTGAATTACCTGCAACTCTTAGTATCTTTCGAACTCATGAAATACAAGAAGCAGTTGATTTATGTAATCGATGTTATGATTGTGAAGCATTATTTATGCTGCTTGGCAAGTTCACATAATATTTTGACAAAGCCCAAATTTTTTACATTAATATTTTCTTTTATTTTGTTAAGTACTTCATGTTACAGTTTTTTGGAACACATAATCTTTTATAGACATGCAACGAGATAATCGTAGGTTGGTACGAGATTTGGTGACTTCGCTACGTGCTCACCCACTTTGGCTGATTGTTCCAATTGCAATTGCAACAAACCGAACTGATTTTTTTTCTGACGAAAGCATTAAAAGGTTTCAGACCACAAATAAGGATTTATTTGATCTGTAAGCCTTTTAAATTGAAGTACCTAATGATTTTGCCCGAAGTCATTGGTTATCTCGTAAGCAAATCAAATATATGTCATTTTCATGTAGTATCCGTTTTCAGGATGCTTCAGGTAACTGCTCAACCAGAAGGGCGTTATCCATTAATGCTTGCAATTGAGATGCATCGCTTAGAGATTGTCCGAAGACTTCTACAACTTGGTGCTGATCCAGCAGCTCGAGATATTAATGGAAATAATTCATTTCACTATGCAGCTTTAGCATCAGTAACCATGTTCGAGTTGCTTTGGGAATTCGATAAAACACATTCATTGTTAAACACCACTAATCATGATGGATATACTCCTGTGTTGATTGCAATCCGAAATGCAAATCCGCGGATTGTTTCAGCTTTAATTTCTCATGGTGCTGAAGTTAACATCCGTGTGGCTGGAAGATCTCCACTTTTTGAAGCTATGCAAAGTAAAGGAAAGTCGACGGAAGTTATTCGAACATTACTGGATGCTTCTCCAGAATTGTTACATGAAAGCGATCCAGCCACAGGGAATACGGTATTGCATGCAGCCCAGTTCAAAACACCATTAATGGGTTTACTTTCACTAAAACACAAAGAACTTAATCTTAATGCTCGGAATAATGCAGGCCAAGCACCAATCCATATGTATGTCAGTAGAGGCGATCTTGGTAAAGGATTTTTGTAATTTGGCATTTTACCAATTATCTTTAGATATTCCAATCGTATCATTGAAATCCTTAAAGTACCATTCATATTTGTTTTTTTTTGCTTTTTAACAAGTGAAAATTGTCTCTAAATTATTCTGGTCAGGTGAAAAAGAACTTGTAGGTATGGTGATGACTTTGTCATCTTATGATTGCGATTTAAATATATCTGATCGGAGTGGTGATACAGCGCTTCATTTATCTGTTTCTAGAAGAGATTTATTAATGACTCAACTGCTTCTTTGCTTAGGTGCAAATCCAAATGTTAAGAATAAGCATGGTGAAACACCACGACATCTTGCTTCTAAATTGCAGGAGTGAGTTTAGTGCTTAAAGAGTGGAAAATTTTTGATTTTCATATTGTATATAAGTCAGTTCATAGATATAAATTTTAAGATGGATATTAGTAAGAAGTCTTGCTATTTGTGGTGCACGACGTTGTGACAGTGGAGGGAAGAGTGGATGTGTATCTGGATGTGTCAATGGTAAAAAACTAGATGAAATGAAAGATGCGTCATGGTCATTAATAGAAACTGCTGAAAATTATTTGATCCCTCGCACTGGGAGTTCTGCTCTTACGTGTGATTTTGAAATGTCTATAGAGTATGAAAATGACAATCCGATTCAAAATTTCAAGCAAAAAGTTCGTTCAGTCTCTTTCAAATTTTCATCAGTTATTTGAAAGATGCTATGGTGATTTGGTTCGCATTGTTGATTTAATTGTTGTAGGTCTGTTATGAGTATCTTATTAAAAAAGTCGAAGAACTATTGATCAAGCAAGAAACTCCAAACTTTGTGAACTTATTGTCTCTGGATGGTGGTGGGATTCGTGGTCTTGTTATTATTCAGGTATTATTTGAATCTTGTTTGCGTCATTTTGTTTGCATGTTACTTTACAAGTTTTTTGTTTTGTTTATCTTAGAGTTTGAAGTTGAAGGAAGAAAGTGTAGACTAATTCAGACTCGAAGGAAATGTAAAACTTGGTAATTCCTTTGTTTCAGATGTTATTGGAACTTGAGAAAGTACTGGGGGAATCATTTTTTCAATATTTTGATATGGTAGCTGGTACCTCCACGGGTGGAATCATTGCAGCAGCCTTATCATTAGGTTTGTATTTTCTTTTATAATACTTAACAGTACAGGTGCAATTGTCGTTAAAATTTAATAATTCTAATGTTTAATAAATAAAACTTAAAGCAATACACGATGATATCTGAATTCTTCTTATTTCTGGCAATTGTAAGAAGGATATGTTACAAGTAAGTCGGCTTAGCATGTGAATGGTTGACATCGACATGGCTTTTGCTTTGCAGGAAAATCATTGCGTGAATGTCAACAGATATATTTACGACTGAAAGATCTTGTTTTTGATAGCTGGGCTAGACCATACAATACGAGTGTGTTGGAATTGTTCATACAAACTGAAGTTGGCACTGATATGACTCTTGCTTCGATACCTTGGCCTAAGTAAACACAAAAGTCATTTTTCTAGTTTATTTCATGCATATAAAAGTCTTTCAATTAATGAATAGTTAGGCAATTCTTAAAAATTTTATTTTTATTTTTTTGAAGAATGATCTTAACAACAGTACGAGCTGATTGCTTCCCAGTGCGTTTGGAATTAATGCGAAATTTTCAATTGCCTTTATCAGAAGAAGAAAACGCATTGCTTGGGTATAGCGATCCAGCTGGTTCGTAGTATTTTTTTCAAGTTGTTGTGAAACTGCACTTAAAAAATCGTATATCTCTCAAAAATCTCATCTCTTTATTTAATCATTCACAGATACTTTGCTGTGGAAGGCACTTCGACGAACCTCGGCAGCACCAACATATTTTAGTTCCGTTGATAACAGATACATTGATGGTGGGATTGTTGCGAATAATCCTGCGTTAGAATTGCTTTCAGAAGTATCCTTTTGGAATACTACAAGTCATTTTTTGGTAATTTCATTAGCTTTAATTATTTTAACTTTTTTCTAATTTTATGTAATGAATTCAAATCTAATTGTGCTCTCTTTCTATATTGTGTATGCATAGTTCAAAGACATATGAACATATTTATGTGGATATAGAAATTTTTTTCCTAAGAAAACTCTTTTGTAAATGAAAGTATTTTAAATGAATACCTTTTTCAGACAAGTTCAGAAAGCGATTCCATTAAAGTAGGGTGTATGTTAAGCGTAGGAACTGGTGCAATTCCAACAGTACCTTTGTCGACATCTAACTTAGAAATTTCATCTAATCCGTACTCTTCAGCGGTTGCTATTAAAAATCTTGGTGTGATACTTGTCGAACAGGTTTCAAACCTTTTTTTAAGATTAAATTCGTTTAATAAAATGCTTTAGCTGATTTTATTTTCTTACCAGTTTCGTCAAAAAATATAACACAAGCAAGATAGTCTCAGTTTTACAGCATTACATTACGTTTTATTAATGCGTATTTTAGGTCACGGCAACGGAGGGAGCACCTGTTGAGCGAGCTCGTTCTTGGTGTCATAATATAAATGTACCATTTTTTCGGCTTTCTGCTCCTCTTCATAAAGACATTCCCATGGATACACGAGATGATATGGATATTGCGCGTATGATGTGGGATTGTGTGCAGTATTGCAGCACAGTGCGCGGAGAGATGGAAAAACTTTGTCAGCTGCTTAAAAAGGTTTGCTGCTATAATTTTTTGTAAGTGAAGATAAGATAAGATCAAAATTTTGTTTTTATTCTTTAGTTCTTAAATATAGTTTTTAGTTTTTCAAAATATCATTATCATAGTAACGAAAATAGGTGAAAAATATTTTAAAGAGCTTTCAGGTTTCACACCGTTTCCAAAGTTTTTTTAGAGTTTTATCTTGATACATTTGTTTTTTGAGACAAGTCGGATATTTTTATGTTTAAAATGAAAACGAAATATTATGCCACATTTCAAGCTTGGGCCAGCTTGTCGTAGACGACATCTTTTTGAAGACATGAAAAGTGAACACAAAAACTGAATTTTTCGTATTTTCTTTCGCTATGTATCGATGTCTGATGTGCACTTCCATTCACTTACTGAGCTTCACCATATGTTGTTTTTTGTTAGAAAAGATTTCAAGTTCTAGAAAATTCTTAATTTATTTTTGTACTCATATCATACAATCTGCTTGCATTGTTGTAATTAATAGGATACAACTTACAGATTTTCATATAACTTCACGAATTTTTGTTCCCTTGCTTTTGAACTGTATCTCAGTTCCTGAAATATAATACTTGTTATTTCTTCCTCTGATTTGGTTTTTCGTTTCATTGCTTTATTGTTCATGTAAATGTGTTTCTTTTGGAATAGACTTTATTGCGGGACTCATCTTCTTTTGAAACCACTCAGTAATGTTGCCTCTTCTAATTTTTCATCACTTTTTTCATTATTTTATCATTATTTAACATTTTTAGTATGTAAAATATATTGTTGTAAATAAATCAGGTTTATGTTGTTTTCTGCTGTTTTTGTGGTGAAAACGAACATCAACTCTCCTGTCAATAATTTGTAATTTGTCTATCTTATATCTGTAATGTACATATTTAAAGGATCGCTTTAAAATCTTTTAGTTTCAATCATACCTTACTTTTATTGTTCTCAAATTTAGAATTTATAGAAAGTCTTATAGCTCATAATTTAAACTGGTTTGTTTTTTTTGCATTTTTTATGTTTTCTAGGTCATGATGTTGCTGCAGTTATTTTAATCATTCAAGACATTTCCCTCAATTCTCTGCTAATTAAATTTCTGTATTCAAAATAATTGTCACCTTTGTTTATGCTTTATTTTCATAGAAATTATTAACGGATCCACTATTCTCATGTCAATTAGTTGATTTCATCTATAATCTAGCAAAAATTTGTTGAGAAACGTTTTGTTTATGTTATTAGTGTTGAATATTTAATATTTTGTCAAGTTTGGATTCTCGGTGTGGATGATGTGCTCCAGTACAGTGTAGAAAAATAAGTTGTTTGTGAAAATTAGACCTCAGAAGTTGTGGTTGTACAAATGTCAGGACTTTTAATGGTCATTTAAATAGGGTAGTTCTGCTTTATGCAGTATTTTCTTATATTCTGCTGAAGTAAGCAGATTCTTCAAACATATTGTAGAGAATACTGGGCTGTACTGGATATATTGTCTATTTCAGTAGACGTGATTGTAAGCTGAAACGTCATCCTTATGGTATTTATGACGGAATAGGAAACTGTTTATTGTTTTGCATAGGATGTTAAATTTTTGAAATGTAAAAAGTTTTATTTGTGTGTGTTCTGCATTACAGCAAAAGTTAGATCGGTTGATTGCGGATAGAATTCTCAAACACTGCTTTACCACTTATGATTTCTAATTCGGCAGTTTTCTCAGAGGCATCATACTAGCTCACTTGTTTACTCGTGAGAACAGTGATTTGCAATGAATAAATAATTCATTTGATGCAGTCAGTGCTTTGTAGTTCTTAAGCTCTGTATCACGTAATAATTAGCTATTTTTCGACTCAAAGTTAATCATACTATTTGCTAGAAATTTTGGTTCCAAAGTTTTGCAATTCGTTGTCGTTTTATTAATTTTTTATCAGACATTTCATATACATTCGATAAATTCCAAAAGGTTTGATGGGAGGAGTGATTTTTCATGTTGAACTGTTATGCGCGAATAAAGTTCAACGAAAAAGTTTCTTGGTATAATGCTAAGTTCAGATTCAACGGCAGGATGAAATATTAAATTCCTGATAATTCGTTGTTTTTCCAACGTGCAATGTCCATATTTGTTCTTGCAAACATCAATCCTCTGATTTTTTTTCGCTTCCACTTTTACTGCATCTTCAGCAATATGTTCTTCTAGTCTCCACAATCATTTTAATTTCTTAATCCAACTCACAAAGTATTAACTTTACTTATGAATCTAATTTTCATTATATTCGCATACAAGATTGAGTTAGATTTGGATATTGATTGCTTAGAAAGGGATTTGAACAAATCCTTTCAAATAAAGTAAAGTAATCATAGCATTTTTGCTCGTATTTATCACTGATGTGTTCAAAAATAGCTGGGTTTTCTCGAAATTGTTCTTCACTATTTGACAACAGCTTTTTGATTACTGCTTACAATAACAAAAGGTTCAAGCTAATTGGATTTTTTCAAAATAACTCAAATAGTATTGTTTCGATTCAAGAAATAAGCTATGGAAGGTGATATGTTATGTTACTGTTCCATAACACTTTTTACTTATCCGCTCAAAATCTAGTCTACGTTATTATTGCGACTATTATCATATTCTTAGAATAAACATGATAAGTTTTGCTTATCTGAATTAAAAATGGTAAAAGTTGAAAAAAAGAGCAAGTTTTTAATTTTTCATTGATAACTGACTAAATAAGACTGATTAAATTAAAAAATGAAACAGAATTAATTCTTTTATAAAAGTTTAATTATTATTTAGCAGAGAAAAATGTAAAAAAATTTTTAGTTTTTTAGTTTTGATTCAAAATTTTGCTTCATCCAAAGTGTTTGACTATCATGTATTTAGCTAATATGTGCATGAAACAGGTCAAGATGACAAATAATTCCAAAGTACTACATCACTTTTCATTTTATTCTTTAACAAAAATCAATGCAAGCACATACATATTAGCTAAATATGAACAAAATATGTGTTTATCTTGCATGTGTCCTATTGCATAAGAATATTATATTTTCATTTGAAAACTTCATTTTGCTGATTTTTACGTTTATTATATCTAAAACGTCAGTGCAAAAAAAGTTAGTTACTAAAAAGTGCTCTAATAAAATATTCAGCTCTTATTATCCTTTCCATGACTTAGCAAGAAAATATTGGCACAATTTTTTGCGTTTACTTTCAGATATACTTTAAAATGAATAACTAACTTGTCATCATTGTGACACACAATAACTTATGTGTTTTTACACTACTACCATTTACTGCTTGTTGTTTCATTACTAAATTTATTGCATTAATTTGTAATCTTTTGTTTATTGCTATATTTGTTTAATTTAAATATTAAATAAATAAATATTATATTGTATATAGTAATAATTTAAATATTATATAGTAATATTTATGCATTTCATTTCACATTGTAAAATTTATAAATTTTTTATTCAGAAAAATCAGTATTTTGAAAGATTTTTCTGAAAGTTTAATTGTAATTTATTTTCAGCTCCCAATCATCGTATGAAGTTAGCATCAACGCAACAAGGTTGCAATGACTTATGATAGATATATCAGTCTTTTTAACTAATATGTATATACTATTTCATCCATAAAAATATTTGAAAAAAATAAAAATTTAAATTATGAATTTTTATTTACATTCTTTAAATATTTCTCACGCTTGTTGACTGATTTACAAAATTAAGTGAATTAAATGCATTTTCATTATAAACATAGAATTATTATCCCATTACAATTAATGTTTTCCCACCAAAAAGTTGATATTAACTTTTTTGTTTATTATTAAATTTATTAAATGAATTGGTAATAAATTTTCATTTACTTGTCAAGATTCAATAAGTTTGTTTTGATGCATTAATTGTACTTCTTTTCGCAAGCCGGAATTCAAGCAATGTGCTGAAAGTGCCTCAATGTATTAGCCTGCTAACATGGTTAAAATTGTTTTCATTTGCAAAATCATTAATTTGTTATTACTTATTATTTGTTTCTATTAAGGTTAGTTTCTAATTTTTGTAATCTTAAATAGAATATTCAAAAAAGCTCTGACATGTAGTGAAAACTAAAACATTTTGAAGTATTGGAAAATTTCCTTTTTTACTTACAGAAATAGTGCGTATTTACTAAAATTAGCTTAGATTATCATTATAAAAAGTTTATCATACTCAATTAATACTAGTAACTTTCATTAATTATTGTAGAGGATAATTACAGTCTTGTTTTGTTCTGCTGAAAAAAAAATGAAAATTTTTCAAAATTTTTGAGTTTTTAAGCAATAACTAGTAATCAAAATATAATTGCACTAATTATTTAAACTTAATGATACATTTTTATCTTTTTTTAAATCTCTATATCAGTGTCTCATTATTGTATGCCATTTTTTATTCATTTATTCTTAGATAAAGTCTATTTTTATTGATATTACAAAAGTTTCTTTGCTGTTATCCATTTGCTAGGCTTTATTCAATATTTTGCTAATTTAATTTCAGTTTTTTTTTTTGCTAACATTTAGTAATTTTTTCAATTTTTTTTTAAACAATTTAAAGAGTGACTTGTTGTTTATAAGCTGTCATTTACTTCCCAACAAGAAATGACAAATTTGAATAATTATGAATTCTAAATAATTGCTTGTAAAAATTTTTGCAGCAATATTCATTCATTCTAACACATTTTTATGCTTGCACATATTAAGAATAAAAAATGAAGAATTTTAGTGTTTTTTACATTTATGCCTGAAGAAAAAATATTACAATTATGAGCTAATAAAAGCTGTGCTAAACAACAGCACAAGCATATTTAGTTTGTGGAATATATTATTTATATATTTATTCTAAATCCGTCAATGAGCGATTTTCATTCGGATAAAATCTCTTCTGTTAATGTATAAATTATTTTTGCATAGATAGCTAGCTAGCTATTTGCTAAAATAAAATTAAATACAAAAATTTTTTAGCATTTATAAACTTAATGAAATGCATACTACTATAAATCTTAATAATAACTTTAATTGATATTTCAAATTGATTGATAAATTTTTTTAACATTTTGCAATAAAAATAAATTTAATCAAAACATGAAAAATACTACCCTATGCAGCCTTTATTCCAATTAAAATTATGATTTCGGAAATAATGAAGAACAAAATTATGCAGTGAATTTATTTTACATCAATTTGTACTATGATTTTTATAGTCAAAATTATTTTTGCATGTTCCAGTTTATGTACGGTATATATTTAACCTCAACGATATTATTATCATTTTAAATCAGAAGGATTCCAAATTCATAGTGAAAGACAAGTAACTCATTAAATGAATTTGTTTTGAGAAAATGTTCAGATTGATTTCTAGACAAAAGAAAAACATTTTTTCACTGACTACATTACATCCAAATTATTTTAATGTAAGAATTCAATTTTTATGTGACAGAAAAAAAATACAAAAAAGTATTCAGAGAATAATTTTTCAAGATTCCAATGCATTCTTAATATGTTCTATGAATTCCACAAATATTTCTAGCATTATTATGCCATCGTTCCAATGTTTTTGACAACTCTCGTAGTCTTCGATAGACAAAAACAACGCATAAAGCTCAAAATTTCAATGCATTACATTAAAACAAAGTAAGTAAGTAAGTTTGGGACGATATATATATTAATTTATTTTTTAGAAATTTTTTTTGTTGCATAATTTACTGTCTCACTGAAATATTCGCAATTTTTTTTTTCAAGATACTTAATGAATTGAATTAAAACTCTTTCAAAGATCATTAAATTTTTTGTAATTTGTTCAGAATGAATCTTACTTATATCTACAACTTTGTTTGCGTGTTTTAAAATTTAGTTATTCTGAACACTTTTCATAGCTTTTGAACAATTAATTATATAGGTTGCTATGAGACGTAGAAGTGCTATAATTAAAGAAGGATTATCCAGTTACTGAAGCAAAATTATACTCAATACTAACACTGTAAAGTTAGTTATAAGAGGTACGAATAGTTCGTATTACCCATAATGTGTCCGATCAGTATGCAGTAATGAGCAACTGTTCAACTTTTTAACTTTGTCAGTAAACTACTACTGGTCAGGTTCACTGTACTGACCATTCTAAATAGGCTTAATCCTCTTTGTTGCACTCTTTTAAGATACCGAAGATAAATACAAACACATGTTGTCAAATTGTTTTAGTACTGATATTTGTTGTTTTTGATTAGCATTGTTATCTTCTGATAATTTTATTTATTTATTTGCATTACATTCCAAAATTACTAATACAAACTTTGCAGGTAAAAAATTATTTTTGTTTGTTCATTGTTCATAACTTCTTTCTTATCAATCGTAGAGTTCTATATTTCTTTATTTTTAAGTCAGCAGACTAAAATTAAATTTAA